AATAAGCTTATATAATAGTAGTGTGTAGTAAAACATTTTTTTAGAATTTTATTTTTAGTGCTTTTTATATAAGTGTAAGCTTGTTAATTATTATTTTAAGAACTTTATATAAACTTTTATTAAAGTTTTTTTATTAGTATTATGTAAAAGTTATTATTATCTAGTCTATCTAGTACTAGCTATAGTTTACATTAGTGTTAAAGTAACTACTTAAAGTGTTGTATAAATGCTTCTAGTTATGTCTAGGGCCTATGTTATATATATAGTATATATTTACTTAACTTTTTAGAATATCTAGAAAAATGTTTATATACTAAGTTTCTTAAATATTTAGCTATTAATATAGATTAATAAAGATCTTTATTTTATTTATAAAAATGTTATATAGTTAACTTATATAGTTATTATTTTTTTTTATGCTTTTTAAAATTATATAATTTTATTTACTAAAAGTTTTTCTTTAGCAGTTTCTCTTTAAGGTAGAAGTTTATACAGGTTGTAATGTAGTATAGATTGTGCAGGTAGTATTAGTAGTGTATACACTACTGCAGGCGGTGGTGTGTACAATTAAGAGTGTGGAGCAGGTGTTAGGTAGGGTGGCATGTATTATTTATACAGTAATTAGTGTAGTGCTAGCTAAGGTGTAGAAGTAGATAATGCTAGTACATTTAGTATTAATAGCAGCATTATGTTTAGTCTGCTTCTATGCAGAGCCTTATATAGTAATAAAAGTTATGTATAAAGCTTTTCTAGTGTAATTACTTTTTTTTATGCTATATTATATAGCTTTTAGGCTTAGGTACCTTTAGTGCTTAGCTATAGTGTAATTCTTTTGTTTTTTAGCACTTATATAAGCTTCTTTTTAAACATATAGCTAAGTGCTAAGAAGTTTTATAGTGTCTATTTTTTAAAATTTTTTATGTATGCACTTAAAAAAGTAGCGCCTTTTTAAGTTATTATATATAGATTAGTAATTATATAACTTATATATAATTAAGTTTATAAGCTTATTAGAGCTTCTAATATGTTAATTTTATTATTTTAGTACTTTAGGCTAGTTTTATTTTATAGTGTTACCTTTAATATTTTTATATTCTTTATAAGTTATTTATATAATAAAAATTATTTTTTATTTTTTTTATTATTACATAAAGTTGTTAGTTGCTAATAAGATTTTATTATAATAGTATAGTTAATTACTTTTTTAGTAAATTACATAAGTACTACTATTATCTAGCTACTAGGTTATGCAGCTTTAATAGCTTTAGTGTGCGCCTTACACTATCTCCTCTTTACTTTATATAGTAGCAGAGCTTGCTATATAATGTAAAGAATTAATATGCTATTATCTAGCTACTAGGTTGTGCAGCTTTAGTAGCTTTAGTGTGCGTCTTACACTATCTTTTTTTTACTTTATATAGTAGCAAAGCTTGCTGTATAATGTAAAGAATTAATCTGCTATTTTAAGAGATAAGTAACTAAATAAAGTACTTTATAAAGTATAAGTACTCTACTATTACTCTTTCTAAAAAATAGGTAATAAAATAAAGTACTTTATAAAGTATAAATACTTTATTATTACTTTTACTAATTTATAGTTAATTAAATTAACTACTAATTAGTGTTAAATAAGCTCTAATAGCTAGCTGCTTATAGTATAAGCACTTAAGTAGTAAAAGTAAGAGTAGTGTATAGTGTGCACAGCGTACAAAGTAAGTAAAGTAAGGGCAACATGTTTCTAGTTCTATTGCTCTTGTCTTTCCTCTATACAGAGGAAAAGGGGGATATCTAGATGTTTGCGCACAGAGGTTCGCGCACGAGCATCATGTGACATAGATACGTGATCCTGCTCGTGCGCGATCGCTCGTATCCAGGACGCGACGCTGCTGCTGCGTACGGACAGTAATAGCCTTTAAAAAGGTCTTAAAGGGGGCAGTAATTATTACACATAAGCTAGTGTTAGTGTAAAAGAAGATTATAAAGCTTTAAGCAGCAAATAAAGCTACTACACAACATAGATTACATAAAAGAAAGCAGATTTAAGTAAAAAAAACTTTAATAGTTAAAAATAAAGCTTGTCTAACTACTCTAAAGAAGTCTAAAGCGCGTAGTAATAGAAAGAAGCTAAAGACATAAGTACACGCTAAAAAAAGTAAGCTAAGTTAAAGGTAATATAAGTAGTGTAATTAAACTAAGCATAACTTATGTATGTGTAAAAAAGTAGTAAAAGTAGACTCTAAATAATATCTTATGTTGTATTACTCTATACAGGGCTAAAGTGGGCTGTTTTGCGCTAGAATAGGGTGGTTTTAGTAGGTGCTTGGCAAAAGTGGCCGGCCAACCTGTGTGGCTGGCTAACCTGTTAGGTACGTTATAACCTTTCTTTTTATATGCTTATTAAAGTGCTTTAACTACTATAGCCTAAGCTTATTTATTATCTAGCTGTTTTTAAAGACTGTAATAACTTAGTTCTAAGGCAGATTCTTCTCTTTATACTAGGCAAAGAGGTAATAGCAGCCCTTAAAGATAATAAAAAGTAAAATAGCTTACTTTATTATGTTAATGCTTTAGATAACTATTGTCTACTTTTTATTACTTTACTATATTACCTTTAGCTGTTTTTATCTCCCTAAAGCTGTAATAACTACTTTAGTTAATATTTAGCTTATTATAAAGCTTAACTTATTAAAGTTATATGTATTTTTATTCTAGATACTATACTTAGCTTTTATGTTAGCTACTAAGCAAAACTAGCTTTAGATAACTTTTAAATTCTTATAAAGCGCTCTTTTATAATTATACTTATAATTAAACTTTATTATAAACTTAGAGTAGTGCTTAACCCATATACTAGGCTAGTTTAAGCTAACCTAGCCTAGATTACACTTTGCGCGTAAAGAATTAGCTATATTAGCTATAGCTATAAGCTTAAGTATGTACTTAATAACTACTTTTTTTAAGCTTAGTTAAATTCTTTAATTTAGGCTAGCATTCTGCTTCTAAAGGCTGTCTAGCGCGTTAATTACTTAGTGTTATGTAAGAGACATTATAAATAGCTACAGCGTGTTATAAAGAAAGTTTTAAGTCTTATTTAAAAGCCTAAAAAGTAAGCTGTATCTAACATTCTTTAGAAGATTTAATCTAGTGTTGTTGTTAAGGCATTATGTAGATAGGTAGAGTGTAGTAGGGGCTTAACAAAAGTGGCTAGCTAACCTGTTAGGTACGTTATATATTTAGTAAAGTAGCTTTAAAAGTGGTTAAAAGTGCTTAAAAAGTTTTTTACTATTAGTATAGTAAAAGTAATTTAAAGCATTATTAAAAGTAATTTAGTAGTTAGTAAGAAATAATTAAGACTAATAGTTTTTAATTTAGTTAGCTACTTAATTTATACTTTTAATTAAGTAACTTAGTTTTTAAAAGCTATACTACTAAGGTTTAACTTTAAATCTAGTAAGTCTTTAGCTTTAAGTCTTATAAAAAAAGGTTTAGCTATTAAAGTTAGTAGTTATTTAGCTTTAGTAGTAAGTATCTTACCTTAGCTATAGCTAAAGCGTGTTACAGTCTTTATAATAAAATCTAATAGTAGTTAAAAGTTAAGTATTAGTAGTTATCTTTAATTTTAATAAGTTATTAGTAGTCTTTAAGTTTTTACTTTAGCACACTTTTTATAACTTTTCTAAAAGTAATTTTAATTATAAAAAATAAAAAGTTCTAAACTTAAAAGCTTTAGTTAATAAAAAGTTTTTAAAATTTTATTTATAGTTAATAACTAAATAATTTAATATAATAGTATGTAAAAACTATAACTTAAACTAAATTAGACACTTTTTTAAGTTAAACATAGTTAAATAAATAATTAATATAATATTATTAATAAAGCTATTACTAGTAAAAGTAAGTTTTTTAATATAATATAATAGCGCAGGCAAGATACTAGGTCTAAATGTAGTAGAAATCTACTTAGAGGCATATAGAAGTGTGTAGAGACTCTAAACCTAGGAATGCTATTAACACTTATAGACTTTATATAAAAGGATATTAGAAAACTACTAAGCTAGCTACAAGGGTAAGGTGCAACTAAATACATAAGAGAATAGGGGTAACTGCAGGGGACTAGGTTAAGTTATAGTCAGGGCTAATACAGGGACCCTTTGGATAGGATCCGAGCGACCCGAGATGGAACGATTCGTAGAATCGTTACACTAGCTAGAGAGAAAATACTTATATATAGTTATAGCTTAAGTATATGCTTTATAATTTCCTGCTCTTTATTATTAATTAGCCTTTATAAGATCGCTATAAAATTAGCTTATAAAGGTTATTTAGTGTGTTAGTTATGTATTTTTTAAAAGACTTTATACATAGCTCTAGCATGTTACTTTAAAAGTGTTACATTTTATTTAAAAAACTAAAGTGTAAGCTATATCTAATTTTTTTAGCATGTCTAAGTAGTGTTGTTAGAAATGCATTAGTATAGGAAAAGTAGTTTAGTAAGGTCTTAGCAAAAGTAAGCAACTTAGGTGTGTAAGCAACTTGCCTATAGTGTACGTTATTATCTTTTAAAAAAACTTTATATATAGCTATAGCATGTTACTTTAAAAGTGTTGCATTTTATTTAAAAGCTTAAAGTGTAAGATATATCTAATTTTTTTTAGCATGTCTAAGTAGTGTTGTTAAGAATACATTAGTGTAGAAAGAGTAGTTAAGTAGAGTCTTAGTAAAAGTAAGCAACTTAGGTGTGTAAGCAACTTGCCTGTAGTGTATGTTATATAGGAATAGTAAAATACTTTTATTAAATATTCTAAGCTAAAGTTACTTTAGTAAATGTTTCTATTTAACTTAAAAGTTTATAAAAGTTTATACACTAATCAAAGCACTTTTTTCCTAAATAAAAGTAAATAGTAGAATATAATATACTTAAATGCCTTTGTCTATAAAACTATAAACCCTAGTTCTAAAGTGAAAATACTATAAATACAAGCTGTAATAAGACGAATATTTTACAATGTATTCTTCCTCGCGTGTCCGATAATACCAATCCGATGGAAACCAAAAACTGTTACAGCAATACTCGTAACATAACACCAAAACAGAACCCAAAAGCATACGCGATAACCTGCCATTAACGCCTCCAAACCCTTCTTATCTTCGTATTTGGAGTGTTGTGTAACAGTATTCCCAATCAGTGCTACCACGGCTAATCCCATACTCTTCCCAATCTGCGAAACAGTATTGAAGACACCCCCAGCGAGTCCTTGCATTTCCAGAGGAAACATCGAGCTAATGACAAGGTTAGACGTTGTGAACAACGAGTCGGCTCCAATTGAGTTAAGAAAGACAGCTGGAAAGGCGGCTGTCCAGTATGACCACCCAGGATCAGCGATGGCCATCAAAAGAGGTGAGAAGGTTGAGAGTGCAATCGTGATGTACATGAGGTAGTCAGCGCGTACTTTGTGGAGTAGAAGCCCCGTAATAATACTTGTCACTGAGCCCGAGAGAGCAACAGGGAGAAACTGAAATGCAGACGTAAGGGCACTGAGACCTTGTACGTCCTGGAAAACGAAGTTGGCAACCTGCTCAAAGGCGTTGAAAGCACCCCAGATTAAGAACACGTTGATGCAGATGGAGGTGAATCGTTTACTCTGCCAAAGGACGTTGGGAACCAGGACTGGTTGGCCGCGACGGGTCTGGAAGTCGACCCAAAAAAAGAATGTAGCTCCTAGGACGATGGATACGCACAGCATAGCGACATTGGCGCCCTCGACCATCTGGGACGTGTTCTCTGTGATGACACTATCACGCGTAGGGTCAGTTTTTGTTCACTTCTAGAAGTGTACGGGTTGGCATACGAGAGGTAATAGGAAAGTAATAGCATCGAAGAGCTAATGAGAAATGCCCCAACCCAGTCGATATCGGATAGCAAACGATTCCAAGATAGCGGTGGCGCGTCACTTGGCTTAGGTGGGAGCGTATACCAGGCCAACATGAGGACAATAGCGTTTGAAATGGCAACAAAGTGAAACCCCCATTGCCACCCAAGAGTGTCAACTAGAATTCCTCCGAGTGTTAACCCAACTCCGAAGCCGATAGGCTGCCCTCCGCCCATGAAGGAGAACGCGAGGTTTCTCATCGGACCGTGAGGGAAGCTTTGCGTGATAAGTCCCACAGCAGAGGGCAGGCATAGAGATGTGGCCAAACCCGAGAAAATTCGTGCAGTAATGAGCTCATCGTCGGTTCTCGATAGACCGCACGCCGTGGAGAAAATCATTTGCAGGAAACAACCCGCTAGGAATACAGTCTTACACCCTATGACATCAGAGAGGGAGCCAGCTATCAGGAGCGTACAGCCGCTAGCAAGATGGTACATGGATACCGGCCTTTCCAACGAATTAGCCGTCTGAAAGAAGAGTTTGGTGGAGATTTATAGGACGTACCAGAGGATCTTGTCGGCACCCAGGTTCAGGTCTGCTCCAATCTGTGGTGTGGCTATTGTCACCATTCCGGACAACATGCACCCGATCAATGTTGTAGCGGAAACACAAATGATGATTGAAACCGAGCGGCTCGAATTTAACCCCACATTCGGAACTCTCTTCTGTAATAGTGGCAGGTTTTCATCGTTCCTGGAACATTCTCTGCTGCTATCCTTAACGTTGTCTTCAGGGTCATGGTCGATTGGACGGTGTCGAGCGTGGTCCATGCTGGACTTTGTGTCGCTTTGAGCTTGCTCGAGAGATATAAAAGTATAACTATTTTAGAGACTCGCTTCGTGGATAGGTAGTTAGTAGCATGTAATATAGGAACGATTGGAGAATGCCAAAATCCAGGAACCGGTTTTCCACAGTGGGAATGAAGTAGTCATAATCCCACTGACAGTTGCTTAGACGACGGAGCTGAGAACCCGCTGAGTGTCGGGCTGAGATCACACAGAAGAGCGCCACGGTGGGAAGTGCGTATGGATCGAGATTAGTGTCGCGTTCTCACTATCTAGTGGTCGCAAGCGAAGGCGACTCGCCTCGTCCGGGTGGCAGAAGAAACTATAATGCTCTCTATTGGATGGCGCTCTAGCGATATGTGCACACCAGTGACTTAGATGTCACGAAATGACAAAAGAAAGGGTTGGGGTAAATGTTTAGCATATGGCTGAGCGTGTAATTAAAAGTAATGGTAAAATTGTTGAGAACATGTCGGACAGTGGCGTGTTATGGCGCTGCAGCTAGACCGTCATAGCATACAGGCGGCCAGAAATGGTTTAGAGGAAACTGAGGAGAGGAAGAGAGATTAAGTGTCTCGGGGGTTACAGTAACATACAAATGGATGTGTGTGTTGGCAACCCGGCACTTCCAGCATGCATATGAAGACATGCATGAAGTGACATGTTTGTGAAGACCTGCATGAGAAGAGTAACAAGCCTTAGGCAGCACTTGAGGCACCCAAGGGGTTCAACCCGTAACATAGCGAGTTGGACACTCTATCTATTGGAGGGAGCCGAAAGCTCTTGGATTTATATTTGTATTTGTTCGGAGGTTGCCAAGTAGTTTAAAGATGCATCGAATGCGCGGTGGGGCATCGTATTGTGTCTCATTGGTACTGGGAACCATTGTGTCTCATTGGTACTGGGAATCATTGTGTCTCATTGGTACTGGGAACCATTGTGTCTCATTGGTACTGGGAACCATTGTGTCTCATTGGTACTAGGAACCAAGATGCCTGCCGTGGAAGGGTCACCGATTTGAACCGATCCGTGGGTCGTGGCCCCACTAATCAGTAGCTGGCTGCTCCTAGTTCGGTTAGCCACAATGAAACGATGAACTGGTAGAAATAAACCATCATTAGCTTACTACAAACCCCAATTGTATTACTACGACTAACAGAGCCGGGTGAACTTTTGGTGGGATGCCGCTATCTAGATATTCACTAGACGTATATCGCGTGCTTCTAGGAGATAGACCCGCCCTCTGCGCGCAGCTTGAAGATACCCATGTCGAGCGGTGGCGGTGATCCAATAAGAGTATAACTCTGGATGTGATCTCGAATTTCGTCGTCAGTATTAGGATGGACAAGTGCACTCAGAGGGCCTCGGTTGATAATAATCCAACTGACGAAGGCGCCGAACTGGTGGGGATTGACGAGGTTCACTTCAAACATGCCAGCCGCATGTGGCCCACAAGGCGTCTCCCAAATGCGATATATTCTCAACTCAGGGACTATTTGCCGCATTAGTTGAGAACCGCTAAGTTTGGAATGAGATATCGAAGAGCTGAGAGGCAGAACACGAACATTCCCGGCGAATTCTTTCCCACAGTTGATAGGCAAATTCCTTCTCTGCCATTTTTTCCTTTGTGTTGAGTCAGTCAGCTTCATCCAATCCAGACTCTGCAGCCGTAGCCCGTAACGACGTGGTGGTAGGTAGGCCATACCGGATTAAAATAAACATGAACATCAAAACCCGGAGGGTCGGGTCCACCGTTATCATTTATCACAGGGGAGACAAAACGCTGGTATGCTTCGCTCAAGGCCCCGGTTTGAGGATTCTTGTAGGTATTATCTGGATTTTTCTCACTGGAGAGATGAAATGAGCGTTGTAGATTATTGATGTAGTATCTGGGTATGCGTACTTAGAAAGAGGCCTCAGGCACTCGTATCCCGCAAGGGGAAGCGGGAATGTATATTGAGAGAGATCGAGATTGTAGGGACTGCTCTCCGCATTTATGACGTTAGCCATGGTGATGAGAATGATCTAGTCAGATGGATATGAAGTAGCCATGAACGGCTTCGTGAGTATAAGTAGCGCCATAAAAGAGGATGCAGTATGGCGGTCTGGACGTATTCCACGCTAGTTTTGTGGTAATCTAAAATTAGCCATCAAATGCATCTCTCTGAGAGTGGAAGTCGGGTCGGGTCGAGATGTGACCAGGAAGCCATCACTAAACAGTCCACGTGTGTATATCGGCCCGCAGATGACCTTTATTTTCTCACCTACCTTATGCGGAGTACTCAATATTCACCCTCCATACATCTACGTGTCCGCTCCTCTTGATTCGTTTGCTGTGAAGGGTCGCAGTGCAGAGAATAGTCCTGATTGCGGTCATACCAGTCCCACCCCTGCATTGGCCACCCCAAAACCCATTAGCTGAATTGCCTTTTCTTTCCCACCTTTCCTTGTGTTCTGACCTGGAAGTCACCGGGCTATAAAAGATGCTGCTCAATTGCGAAACCGTTGCGCAAAACAATAAAACAACCAAGTCCAGCGGGTTTCAGAGCCAGAGCCTTCACCAGCAGCATATGCGCCCACATAACACCATCACCGCCATGACTAACGATAAATTCGACATTATTATCATCGGGGCTGGCCCAACCGGCCTGATGCTCGCCACGTCCATCACTCGAATGGGCACGTTCAAAATCAAAATCGTCGACAAGAGGCAGGAGCCCACCAAGATTGGTCGTGCTGATGGTATCCAGGCACGAACTTTGGATCTTTTTGAAAACATGGGGCTCAAGGATAGGATAATGTCCTATCGTCCAGCGCTGATTTACGAGGTTGCATTCTGGAATCCGTCCGATACTGGCGTCGGCATCCAGCGAACAGGCACCTGGACAAGTTATCCGGATTTCATCGACACGAGATATCACTTCACCACCATCTTGCATCAGGGACGAATCGAGAAGATGTTTATCGACGATATTGCGAAGTCTTCCGTGCAGGTGGACAGACCTTGTTCATTTACTGGCTCTAGGAACGATGGGATGGACAAGGATTATCCCATTGAGGTAGACCTGGCGTACACCGACCGAGTAGAAAAAGTTCGAACCAAGTACCTGTTCGGAGCAGACGGTGCGAGGAGTGCGGTGAGAGAACAGCTAGGCATCGAAATGCCGCTTAAGGACCCAATCACCTTTGTGTGGAGTGTCATCGACGGCGTGGTCAAAACCACATTTCCGGATATTCAAGTGCGTAAAGTTTACGGGAGTACATTCTTAGGGAGCATAGGATCACTCACAGTTTGGTCTAGATCAAATGCACTATACACTCCAAAGCAGGGTCCTCTATGGTCATTCCTCAGGGGAACAATAGAGTCCGTGTCTATATCCAAGTGCACATGGAAGACCCAACGAAGGACCCTTGGAAGGAGATAGACCAAAACAAAACCCAGCTCCTTGCACGCAAGATCTTTGCACCATACACCATTGAGTGGGAGGAGGTAGACTGGTGGTCAGTGTATCCCATCAGCCAGCGCCTGGCGGAGAAATATACGCTGGACCACCGAACATTCATTGGAGGCGATGCCTGCCACACACACAGCGTGAGTTGCTAGCAAATCGGCAGAGCCATGCCATGTCATATCAATATTGACGCATCATGTATAGCCCAAAGCTGGCCAAGGCATGAACTATGGGTTTTTCGACGCACAGAACTTCTCTTGGAAATTCAATCTCGTCGAGTCGGGCCTCGCCGCACCTTCGCTACTGAAATCGTACGAGCAGGAGCGCAAGTTGGCCGCTGCAAAACTTATCGATTTCGACGTGCAATACGCGAAGTTGTTTAGTTCGCGACCGCCGTCAACCGCGGAGCTGCGTTATATGGCGGTGAGCAATGGGACCACCCCGGGAGACGGAGACGAGTTTATGAAGTACTTCAAAAAAGCCTCGAGCTTCACAAGTGGCTATGAAGTCGATTATGGTGCCAATGATATCAACTGGCGCGTCGGCAGGGGTAAGCACGCCATCGCTTTCAGCCCTGCAGGTGTAAAGCTCGTGCCGGGCCGCGTTTTCCCTGTCGCAACGGTCTGTTAGCCCCCATCTGTGATCCTTCGTAGATCCATCCATCTCATGCCCGAATTGTAGGTTATTCGCGTTGTCGACGCCAACGTATGCGCGCTAGAGCAAGAGGTATCATTCAATGGGGCATTCCGCATCTACGTTTTCGCAGGAGACATTAAGCACAACTGGTTGGCAATCGAAGAACTGGGAACAACACTCGCAATGCACGACTCCTTCCTGCTTCAACACAGCAATACAGATGCTGCTTTTCGAGAATCATACACCAACCGCCACAACCCGCACTCGCACTTCTTCACCTTTAGCGTAGTGTCCAACAATGCACGTACTGATGTCGATATGGCTACGGCGCTGCCTGGATTTTTACAACCCTACCGCCACCATGTTTACGCCGACGACGTGTCACCCGCTGGTCTCCGCGGCTACCGTGGAGCTGTCCACGCTAAGATGGGCTTCGACCAGCAAAGAGGCGGTGTGGCTATCGTCCGGCCAGATGCTTTTGTTGCATGTGTCCTAGGGTTGGAAGATGGAACCGTGACGGCACACGCCATCAATGACTATTTCAGATCAGTGTGCGGCAGGTGATCCGCTGACGTTTAGTGGATAGACAACGGCCTTATTGTTCAATTTTGTTTAACGAGCAGAGAAAAATAGAAGCATCCCGAGCTCATGTGCCTCCGATATTACATTCTGTCCTTTTTCCTCTAGACAATGAATTCAGCACTGTGCATGCAGCTCAAAGGGTGAACCGCTTTCGCAGGGCGAAGATCGGACAATGAAGGGGCCCAATTAGATGCAAGATCATCCGCGCATTTGTTTTATGTACAGACATTGCCATTCGATGGCTTAGAGGGCTGCTGCGAATGGAAAGATCACGTTGACGGCATCGGACCTCCGCGTCGACGATATCGGACTAAGATTGCTTTTTTTAATGAGTGCGACAGATCAACTTGATCAAGTCGAAAAAGCACGTGGACCGCCGGCCAAATGCTGGTCCGAATACCAAATCTCGTGAACGTGAACGTCTACTTTCTTGTTTTCGAGACCACTCGCGGCATCAACCTTTTCACAAATAGTAAAGTGTGAACGACAATATATTTTCCTGTCAACCAAAGACAAACACCGCATGTGACCGAAATCGAGCTATACCCACAAGGCAAGGCCCCCTAAGCTCCTCCTACATCTCAGTAGCTCATCATGAAATTGCCGATATTAAATCCCATGGCCTTCTCAGTCTAACACCTCGAAGCATGATCGTAACGCCTCCCCGAAACGCTCAACTGCTTCTGGCATGACGTCAGGCGTCAACGAAGCATACGTGATTCGAAAAAAGACATCCAACAGAGCTATGGAGGGATCAGGTTGAAACCAGGTCCCGGGAACGACTAAAACCCCAGCCTTGATGGCGGTGTCGTAAATTTGCATCTCAACTCCACGTTGACCAATTTGCCTGGCGAGAGGATGCAGCAACCAGTTGATTTTGATCCACATCTAGAGTTTTGTCAGGAGATTGTTTTGAAGAGAATAGTCAAAAGCTCAATTCGTACAAAAAATCCCGCTCGTGGCACTTTCCACGAAGCCACCTTGGCTGGGAGGTACAGTTCACAGGCTCGTAGCAGCGCATCACGTCTAATTGTGTATTCAATCTGAAGGTGACTGAGCCAACACATCAGACCTTCTTGACCCCAGGCCTCGGAGAGGAGTTTGTAAAGAACGATTTGTGAAAATCCACTTGGGTTTTGCAGTGACGTTTCGTGCGCTCTAACAATGCGTTCGACAACCTGGCTCGAAGCTGTGACCCAACCCGTGCGTAGTCCAGGGGCGAGGATCTTGGAGAATGAGTCCATTCGGAATACTCTTCCGTCTGTGTCGATGCTGAGCAGACTTGGGAGGAGAGCAGTCTTTGGTATAACTGAGAAGGGAATGCTTTGCGTCACGTCTTCAACATGCTCGGAAACATTCGCCGGCAGCTGGATGTAATAGTAAGGATCGTCCTCCAATATGTACAGATCGTGCTTCTGGGCAAGTCGATAGATCTCGTGACGTCTCTCGAGCGATTGGGTTGCTCCCGTCGGATTATGCCCTGTGGGGACCATGTATATCAAGTGCGGCTTCTTACTTTCCATATGGTCTTCATCCCAGCCGGTAAGGACTCTGTCCAATTCGCTCGGAATAGGGCCTTCTTCATCCAGCTTGATACCTAGTATCTTGACACCAAGAGGTCTGGCGCATTCAAAGGCGGTGGCATATGTATACTCGTCAGCCAAGACATAGCTCCCCCGATCTGTAAAGGTACGAAGTGCAAGATCCAGAGCTGATGTGTTCCCACCAGTTATGACACATTTCCAGTCCTGATACGGTGGGTTGTGGACTTGCTATTGTTTTACATCAGACAAACAGACAGCGAATATGTTCATATTACCATTACCTTTGTGTGTTGTGTCATAAAGTCTAGCAGCTGGCGAGCGCCAGTACCGACGCCATACTGCAATGCAGAAGAGAGATCTCGCAGAGGAACCCAGTTAGCCATTCACTTCTCTACGATAAATAGCAGAGACAAGTTACCATAGTCGCTCCTACCGGCTCTTGTATCATCTTTGTTTGCAGTAAGCGTCACCCCGGCATGGTTTGGCCCTATTACAGCAATTTCCCGGGCAGACGGCACCCGGAGAGACGTGTGGTCGAATGGGAAGTACTCAGGGGATGGAGCTCCAGGACCGAGAGACAAGATGGCTGGTACGTGGATTAGGGGTAAGCAAAGTTTGGCAGGCAACTACTCTGAGAGGCAACCAATGGACGGACTAACCAGGATTTACCAAAGTGCCATGCATTGCCTGAAATATGGACCCCTAGTAGAATGGTTAGCGAGGGTTGAAGAACTTCGGAAAGGTCATCCTGCATACCTGCCTCGTTATAGCCTCCTGGCTTAACAGATCTGTTCATCAAATCAGTGTCTAATATATGACAAAAGCTAAGTTCAGCTTCTCACGATCCCATCTTTTAGCGAAATTTTTCTCATTTAAGCACTGGTAGAAGGTAATATTGGGTTAGCACAGGGTCTTTGGGTCCATGCGGGCCAAATATTTGTTTCAGGGAGAAACTTACTCCATTTCCGGCATCGCAGGAGGTGACGTCGAGGTCCCCATTCAGGGAACCATTCTGAGGACTGTCCTTGTCCTGCATATTGGTGTCACGTCGAGATAAAGCGTGATAGATGCAAATTGGCGCAAATACACGATGCCTTCCTCGCTGAAAGCACTCAGCTTTGATTTAAATTTGGGCACAAGTGAGGAATGCTGGGATCGATGCGCCTCTCGAATTCTCTCCCGATTTCGCAATTGCTGAAGAATATGACACGAAATTTACAGGTGGCACATGAGCCCTGCAGGTGCCACAAAATTGGACCCCAAGGGCCCAGAGACTTTATTTAGATGGAAGCTCGGCGAAACAACGCAGGGTCTTCAGATCAATTCGGGGCTAGCAGACCTGGCGGTGAGGGGGATGTGGGTCAACGGAATTCTGTGGTGTCAGTCCATTGTGATGGCCAGTAGCTGTTAGCCAACATACAATTATCATGATGTTGTGAGCTGGGATCCCATCTTAATATACTAAGCATGCTACAGGTACACCGGCGCACATGTTGCGTGGAATCAGAGTTATAGGTCAGTCTAATCCGTCATCTCTAGGGAGGAAGGTACTACGAACGAGCGAGGAGTGGCTGTTTTGTGAAGCTGCATGGCAGTTTGGTTCGTCCTTCCGTGGGGGTCTAGATTCATTTAGTACACCTGCAGCAGCGGCCCGAGATCTACTGCTAGCCTTCCCGAGACCTACGGTTGTTCCCGCGTCTAGTTCTAGTATTTCAGCCTTGTCTGCTTTTATGTCAAACTACGTTGACAGCCTCGTTCATATTCATCCTTCCAGCGTCCTCGCCTCTCACACCCTCGCATTGGTCTTGCACACCGTAAATCCCTCGTATACGTTCTCAAATTCTTTGCTCGCCATGGACCACATCAATGATGCTCAGGCTACGTCTCAGACTAACGTCCCCAATGGACCTTCTCATTGCATCAATCCAAATCACAAACTTCTCAATGGAACGCTCGCCACAATTGATGGTAACATCGCGACAAACGGCTACTCTACCTTGGACGGAAATTCCACCCTCGAAAATGGAACCTCCAACATCGATGGACAGGATTCAATCCGAGGCTACAACCATATTCGCTGGTATGTTGGGAACGCCAAACAAGCCGCGTCATATTACATTACCCGAATGGGCTTCCGTCTTGTCGCATACCAGGGACTTGAAACGGGCTCGCGATGCTGGGCCTCGTACGTCATCACCAACGGTGCTGCGAGGTTCGTTCTCACCTCACCCATTATTCAAGCCGCAGCTTTGAAGGATCATTCAAACGCGGCTGAGAAATCCCTCGCCACAGAGATGTACGACCATCTCGTTAAGCATGGTGATGCCGTCAAGGACGTTGCGTTCGATGTCGATAACGTTCATGCGCTTTACAATAATGCAATAGCTAAGGGTGCTATTGGTGTCAAAGCGCCGCATACCATCAACGACAAAAACGGAACCATTGAACTGGCTACCATCCAGACCTATGGGGACACGACGCATACATTTATCAATCGACGTCAGTTTTACGGCCCATTCATGCCGGGTTTCCATGCCGTTGAAGTGATTGACCCATTGGATGCACACCTTCCAATTGTTAGATTCGATCTAATTGACCACTTCGTCGGCAACCAGGATTGGAACGGTATGGAGTCGGCCTGTAAATTGTAAGAGTTGACAATTTTTTTCCGTTATCCTGCACAAGTCACTAATTCGTGCCACAGTTATGAGGAATGCCTTAATTTCCGCAGATATTGGACTGTGGATGACAGAAATATGTGTACCAAGTTCTCAGCCATGAACTCGGTTGTCATGGCCTCCCCTGGAGGGCTGGTGAAAATTCCAATCAATGAGCCTGCTCTCGGTGTGAAGAAGTCCCAGATCGAAGAGTTCGTCAATTTCTTTGGTGGACCTGGGGTCCAGCACATCGCTTTCCGTACCGACAATATCATCGAAGCAGTCACCAGTTTGAAAAACAGAGGCATGCAGTTCATTACCATCCCAGATAACTATTATGATGCAATGCGACAGCGCCTAGAGAAAACAGGAATGCATCTGAATGAGGATTTGGAGAAGCTACGGAAATTGCACATTCTAGTCGACTTTGATGAGGGTGGCTACCTACTACAGATTTTCACGAAGCCACTGATGGACAGACCGACTGTTTTCCTTGAAATCATTCAGAGGAACGGCTTTGATGGATTTGGTGCTGGTAATTTCAAGAGCTTGTTCGAAGCTATCGAACGAGAGCAAGCGGAAAGAGGAAATTTGTAGAGGCTCGCCTCTCATGTCACTTAAGGTGGAATGGGCAGGTTTCATTGACCGTTCTGGGAGCAAGGAAACGGTGCATAACGAGTCAGGAACGATATTGATCTCTGTGGCAATGTTGAAAATAGACAAAGAATAGATTAGTGTTTTTTTCTCTAAAATTCGATGCAATACTTTTGGTAGCACGAAAAAGAAATTGAGATTTCACAGTGGGTGTAAATAAGTCTAACTTATTCTAACATTCCAGCGCTGCGGAAGGAAGCGGGCCGCATGCGGCTAGACTACAGCTGACAATTAAAGGGTATTGTCTTCCATCAACTCGCTCTCGTTCCGAAGCTAATCTCGTGGCCAGGCGCAGCGGCTGATTGGGTCGGTTGAGCTTGCAGTGTAAAATGCAGACCCTTGTGAACCGCTGTAGCAAGGTATCTGGGGCAGGCGGTGTTGTCACATCAATTATCGATCACAAATTCTACGCGAACTCAGAGCCGTCCAGGGGAATACAAAGTACAAATCGCATCAGCGAATTATAGAACATGTGGTGCCCACGTTTGAATGCCACAAGCAAATTTCAACCACGTACTCCATATACATTGTGCGGTTGCGATCCAATACATGCGAATTTCTCGCTTCTCCTTCGTCCTTCACCGCTTCATCCTGGGCCGGCTGTTCCGATTGTGCATTGCAACCCTAATTCCATTTCAGCCAGACTCTCCGATTGTTGAGGGAATGAACGACGATATTCGTGGTATGCTTATTCCCAGTCAAACTTCATTGACATACCCTTCCTTTTTTATTCCTTGATCTTGGCCAGGATTACTCAACCAAATAATAATGCTGTATGTACATAGTTCTCAGCAATGTTCTTATCATCCAACCTGATCTTTTACCTCGGAGATCCCTGAAATAAGGCAGTCCATGGAAATGGAGGTACGAGGCCGCAAAGCCTGTATCCGCATTGTCACAGGCAAAGACGATTGCTTGCTTGTCATGGTTGGCCCTTGCTCCCCCCACGACCCGAACTTAGCACTCAAGTATTGTCAGCACCTGAAGACTCTTTCCGAAAAACTTCAAGACGACCTACTTGTGGTCATTCGAGGTTACCTCGAGAAGTCACGGACAACTGTTGGCTGGAAGGGCTTGATCAACGACCTGGCCATCAACCAGATCTTTAACATCAACAAAGGGATGCGGATATCTAGGAAACTCTATTGTGATCTAACTGCTCTAGGGGCACCTATTGCTAGCACAGTTCTTTGCAAATGGAAAGCATTGAAACAAGCAGGGCAACACGAGTTAGTCTAATCTAGGGTGGAAAGGAATAACATGAAAGTCGATCTACTGCTTCATTCTATGATTTCGCACCCCTTTCTTACTCACCTTTTTTAATATCATCCATGTGCAATTAATCAATCCCAGGACACTTCTCCTTGTACTGGAAAAATAGACAAGTGATCGACCAGATAGTACATACATAGAATGGCCAGCTTTAGCATCTCACACTTTTGCTTGAAGCACCCTTCTCCACCTAGCATACGGATGACCAACGGTGCCCGGGACAGCGTCATCTATCTGCAGAGTATTGACCAGTCCCGGATGCAGCTGTGAGAGCTCTGTTACACCAAGCATACGCATAGACGTAACCAACTCGTCACGAAGAACTATTGGGGCAATTACGATCCATTTAGGAAAATCTGGGGGAGGCAACTTACTTTCTATTAAGTGTTCGATACCCTCACGGCCGTAGTTCAGCGAATAAAGGAATGGTCGGCCAATCCCGACAGCTGTTGCGCCAAGACACAATGCCTTCAAAATGTCTGTTCCACGCCGGATTCCGCTATCGAGATACACTTCAAGCGTATCAAATATCTCAGGACAGCACTTGTGCAATTCTAAGAGAACAAGAATTGACGGCGGTGAACTGTAGAATTGGGTAAGGGTTCGTCAACAGTCCTGCCTAGAAAATTAAACAGATAGGAGCTTGAACGTACGTGTCTAAGTTCCGCGCTCCGTGATTGCTAATCATGATGCCCTGAACATCATGTTGCATGGCCAGCTGGGCATCTGCAGCGCTCTGAATCCCTTTGAGAATGATAGGGAGATGAGTGACACTTCGCAGCCATTTCAAGTCGTCCCAATTAAGAGACATGTCTATGAAATTGCCCATGGTGCGAGCCAACCCTCCCCCCTTGGCGTCATTTTTGGCTGTCACTCCGCTCATGGGGGTGGAAATTGACTGGTTGGTACGGACTCGCTCGTCGGCTTCCCTCTTCCCGGCCATTGGAGTATCAATTGTTACGAATATAGCCTTAACTCCGACCTCGTGGCAGACGCGGAGAAGGGACTCGGACTTCTCACGGGAGTTGTCAACATAAAGCTGGAAAAAAATCGGATGCTTTGTATCTTTGGCAATCTCCTTGAGTGGAAACGAGGCATTGGTAGACACCTGGAGTGTCTTCGTCAGCACTATAACAGATGGCATACCTCAGAACTCACACATTGCGCAACATTCTTTGCACTGCATGCGGCGGCAATAGCCCTCTCTCCCTCAGGATGAGCGAGCCTAGCCATTGCAGCAGGACTTACAAAGAATGGCAGGAATAGATCGGTACTACCCAGAATACGTATTCGAAGATCAACATTGCGAACGTTGCGTAGGACACGCGGTCTGAACCAAATACGATCGAGGAAGGATTTGTTCGCATTAAGGGTAATGAGGTCGGTGGCGGCAGAGGAGTAGTATGCCCATGCTTTCTGGGAAAAATCTCGGGATGCTGCTCTCTCGAAGTCGTGGGCATTTATCAGCGTTTCGAGCGGAGGCTTGGGTCGGGAATCCTTGGAATTGTTCGTTGACGTGATGCGCCATTGCTCCGGAATGTTAATGCCAGTCTCCAATTTTCCGACCAGCTTTGTGGAGGTGAGTGTATCCAATAGCAGGGAAGGGGCGTGAATGGCGTTGTACTCAGTCGTGGCATCACAGCCCGCGTACCGGTAGATCACTTCAGCACCACCTGGATGGTTTGGTGTAAATTCAGTGAGATCCCACACCTGGGTGTTGACGACGAGCCAGCAGCTCTCGGGTTTAGAGTGTCGCTCTACCTCTTCAACTGATATCCAGGGTAGGTCTGCCATTTTTCTCGTTCTAGGTTGAATCTAGTCTGTAATCCGATCGTGACGCTCACAAGAACGGAGTGATGAGCAGTTGAAATTCATTACTAGGTTCTCTTGAAAATCAGACCATAGTCATAGCTCCTATGCATGCTCGTTGCTAGCAGAAAAAAATAATGACGACAATTATGGTAGACGACCAGCCATCCGGAAGCACCATTGAGATCGGACTCAATCCATTTCCTTTTTCTCGCAGAAATTTTCCATATACGGACAGTGTTAAAAGCCTGATGGGTCTTCTGGAGGTATATATATAATCACCTACGAGTTATTGATCCATCAGAGAATTGCTTATCGCCCTGTGCCTTTTTCAAATCTCTGCTCATTTAACCAACCCCTCTTCTTAGACTCGCCCTCACATCCGTACAAAATGACTACTGTTACGAACCTCGGAATCAATGACGCGTGGGTTTTAAACTCAGTCTTCAACCCGGAAAACTCGCTTGTCCAGCCAAAAGTCTTAGTAAACCCTGACCTATCATACATCTCACCTGGCCCACACCTGGACCTCACAGCCCTTCGACAAGCCGAAATCGCAGCTATCCGGCCCCTGGACTGCCCAGACCCCTCTCGAACCCTAATCGAGACCGCAGTTGCCGAACTGACAAATTTGATATCCGCGCATCCAACGTACGCATCCGCCTACAACAATCGCGCCCAAGCACTTGCGCTTCTTGGCGAAAGCGCCACCACGTGCACCATCTGGACGGATACTAGCACAGCCATCCGACTGGCCAGCCCGCCATTACTCGAAAACGAGGTCTCGCAGCTGCAGGGCGCCATTCTGGCAGCAGCGCACACACAGCGCGCAAAGCTGCTCTGGAAGACTGCACAGTCAAAGCCAGATTCGTGTGTGCCCTCTTTGGGACTCAGCGGGTCGAGCCAGGCCGAAGACTTGCAGTGGGAAGATGTGGCCCGCTTAAACAAGCACGAACTGGAACAGCTGGCAAATCGGGATTTTGAGATGGCAGGAAAATATGGTAACGATGATGCCAGGAAGATGGGAGTACTAACGAATCCTTACGGCAAGCTTTGTGGGGGGATTGTACGTGAGGCTATCCGTGAGGAGATAAGTAAGGTAATGGTGTTTGATGGATAAGAAAGATAGTTTGGCCATTCTGCGAGTAAATTCTTGAGAAAATAAAGGCGGTGGACGAATCGTACCAATAGCCGACGAATATTGGGGTAATCGTGGATAATCCTAAGGGTTAGAATGGACTTGAATTTCCCAACGAAAGACTAAGTTGAAACTCAGATTTACTGCACAGTATTGCTATGTGGAATGACCGAACCGTACAATTCAGATCGAACATTCAAGTCGAACTAGGTATGATCATAAAATATATGAGCTGAAAGAAGAGGGTCTTGCGAGATTCTGGGTATGAGTCATAAATCTAAGAAATGCGCGGATAAATAGTATTATAAGAATTTTTTCTAACCCGGTATCACGGACCTAAACGGAATAGCTGCGCAATCATGGCAGCGCTCCCAAACACTCGAATTTTTTACCTCTTTCTCCCTTTCTTTGGATGATCGCAGAAAGTCCGCACGGCACCTAGCCCATTGAGAATCAGACTGAAACCACTACATCAAATCATCCAAGCCTCTTTACGCCTCTACTGTCGCCTTCCTATTCTTCCCTTCTTCCTGGCCTCGCTCACGCTTCCCCAGAGAAATTGCTCAACCACGTGACAAAGTCAAACGATCAAATTATAGCCCTTCCCCAGCCCAGGGAACACATCAGGCACCCTCATCTGCGCAAACAACTCGCATGTAATGTTCCATGCAATCTGTCGCATTATCCAGACGCTGGCATATCACGTATCCCTCTCGCACAACAAGATGTTCAGCACGTCGGTCAGGAATACCTCCTTTCGCTGCGGGAACGCATTGAGTGGTACCTAGGAAGCTAGCTAGTCAACGATGCGGGATGCAAGTGTCATGATCGGGCCTTCTACCATGGGAATCCTGAGAGATTGAGTTGAGGTAGCAGTGGCGGTGGCAATAACGGCGAAATTTGCTAATACTAATTGACGGGCGTATCATTCGTGGTCTTCGTTAGCTGTTTGGGATCACTGGAGTACAGTTAGAGTCGACTTGGGTGCTGTAGCAGATGGGAGTGTGTTGAACAGTACGCTGGACAAGCGATACTGAGTAATGGGATGCGCTGTCCGTGGAGCACACCCTTCTCGGGCTTGGTGAGCTGGTTGGGATCATCGATGGGCTTTTGAGTTGCCGTATTTATCGCACCAGCTGGAGATGGGACCAGCCCCGATGAATGCACTGGGGAAGAAGCTATTAGCAGATGCAGAACAATAAATCAAGAACAGTGAGCTCACTAGCTTTATCTGCTTCCGGAGACAGTTAGTGCAGGTATTTTTGTATTCCTCTGGCGTCATGTTGCACTAGGGTAGAAGTTATTAGTATAGTTTCAGGGCGAGGAATCGAAAATATTGGGCTCACCTTGATGCCCTTTCGGCGGCGGTTGGGGCGAACGTTTTAGTAGACCTCTAGCATCGTGGTGCCGCGTGGTTCGCTGATTGTTCGTCGTAGAATTCGCCCCAGGGGTGGCGCACTCAACAAATTCTATTAAGCTTAAAATAATAGAGGTTACGCTACATTAACAGTAAGATCTTAGAAAAGAAAATAGAATTATAAATGTAATATTAAGAGAATTAGATATTAGAGAAGAATAATCTAAGGCTTAAAGCTAAACACGGCCTAGTTATAACATTCTCCACCAATTCATAAATGTCTTGGAAAAGCGGAGCTTGGAATAGTAAGGGGCATACATTAGTAGTAAAACTTTAACTTTAATTATCTCTAGTAATTCTAATCTAAATTAGATAATTAATACCTTCTTTTAAAGCTTTTTTTAAGCTGTATATTTTCTCAACGTCGCGATCAGGCTTAACCTTAGCCGATTGCGGCCATATTAGACTAGAATGGACAAAGAATGATTAGCCAGATGCAGCAAGGCATAGACAAATGCAGAGAAGCATAGACGATAGCTAATATAGCTAATTTTTTTTATATAGTAAGTGTAATCTAGGCTATGTTAGCATAAACTAGCCTAGTATGTTTATTAAGTGTTATTTAAAGCTTAAAGTAAAGTTTAAGTATAATTATAACTATAAAAAAGCTTTTTATAAATTTTTTAAAGTAATTTAAAGCTAGTTTAGCCTTATAAAGAGTATTAAAGCTAAGTATAGTGTCTAAGATAATTAGCTATATTAGCTATAGCTACTGTAAGAATAAGATAGCGCTTACGTGCAACAGGTATATATACTATTCTGTACGCAAGATTAACTGTTGGTTGATTATTTACACCTTTTTAGTTGTATTAGCGCAGTGGTACAGAGCTCTATCCTTAAGCTACTAGCTAAGAGGAAAATCCTTATGCATTTAGTTTAAGTATATACTTAATAATTACTTACTTTTTGTTATTTTTTAGCTTTTATTAGTTAGCTATAAAATTAGCTTATAAAAGTTATCTAGTATGTTAGTTATTTTTTTTTAATAAACTTTATATATAGCTATAGCATATTACTTAAAAAGTGTTACATTTTATTTAAAAGCTTAAAATATAAGCTATATCTAACAGTCTTTTAACATATTTAAGTAGTGTTATTAGAAATGCATTAGTGTAGAAAGAGTAGTTTAGTGTAGTCTTAGTAAAAGTAAGTAACTTACGTGTGTAAGTCACTCGCCTGTACGTTATTTACATTTATATATAACTAGGGATTACTTACTTTTCCACCAGCAGTAATTGTATGCTGAGAAACGTATAGAAGAACTTACCTGCTCGACAAGCAAAGCGTCTCGAGAGTTTCGCAAAGGTGCAAACACGCCATAGGGTATAGTACCCGTTAGCAACGAACAGCGATATCAAGTTAGCTCGGTTTATGCTCCTACAGAATCCTAACTTATAATTGACTGGTAGCCGCATAGGACAATCTAGGCCTTCAGAGGGGCGAGCGCAGTCCCACTTGCTACGCCGCAGCGTTGCCTCATTCTTCCTACGCCCATTTCGTTCACATTGGCCTAAGGACATAACAAGCCAGCGCTACGGTCCGGTAGCTCGATCCATGGCGGCTGCATGTGTATGCGGCATTTGGGACCACCTTTAATTATCTTGCGGAAGCGTGCCTGCATTCAAACAGCCCAGAATGGTAAATACTGACCGAATGATGTAGTCGGCCAATATGCCCCTGGGTAGTCTCATGCTAGGAGCCCCAACCAATCAGTACCATAGGCTATTCAGAAACCAGCGATATATTAATTTCAGCATCTGCCTAGACAGCAGCATTCATCCTCTAGTTATTGATGAAGTGACTGTGGCGGCACCGTTGTTGGCGTACCGTATAATGGGCTCCAGACTTGCATCATCGTTAGACTTGCTACTAGGATTGATTGTTTCCCAGGTCTACATACTTTGCCACATCTTTGAGTCCAGGGGGAACTTCAAAATATCCATGTCATCACTAAACGGTGCGCCGTTACCAATGCCCGAGAAGATCGCCATCCTCTAGTACCAGATGGGACACCAAAACGACACACGCCAGCCGAGCCTCATTGTTGCAGTGTGCACTTGCCTACTCTTCGCCTTCTTAGCAGTCGCCTTGAGACTTCTGGCCCGCGGGAAAGTCAAGCAGCCTTTGCGGGCCGACGATTGGTGGATCATCGCAGCCTTGGTAGTACCGCCCCCAGCATTTGTAGATAGAGATGGAAACGCTAATCTCTATGCTAGATTCCAGCCACTCTGTGGGATGCTTTCAACTTTTGGTCGGTGCGCGCTAGTCTAGGTCTCTACATCATCCATGTTACCGATTCAAAGCCCTTCGTGCAGTCCGCCATCACCTGCATGGTCCTTTTACTCTATGTCTAACTCTAATCAAGTTTTCTATCTTATTTCTTTAACACAGGCATATTCCCGAACCAATCAATTAAGTATGCTGCACTCACCATCGGACCTATCGTGAGCGGGGCAGCAGTGGCATCAGCTCTTGCATTTGGCCTCCAATGTCGGCCCCTATCCAGTGTGTGGATCAATGCTAATGGGAAAGGGGACCACTGCATATAATTAAGCCCTTTAGCGGTATCCACGTGGTGAGGATCAAGACCAGGTGCAAGCGAGCTGTACTGACGTCTGAATCATCAGCATCATCAGCATCATCACCGATGTAATGATTTTGGTCTTATCTGTGTGCTCGTTGCCCCATCTGAGAGTTCCACTGGCGGTCAGAGACGGTCTTATAGGCACATTCCTTCTCAATGGCTGGTATGTGCTAAGTTCCTCCCACGCCCTGCTTATACAATAACAGCTTGCTCGGTAGTGTGTGTCAGTATATTTTGCACTACCATAGTTGGTCAAGCCTTTTTTGAGGATCCTAGTAGTATGTGATGTCAATATTCCACCGAGCTGAGAGGACCCCTTGCTGACAAATGACAGGGAATAACGCGCCGGGGGGTACAGGGTCCGTGATTGAAGTTCATGTTGCTATCGTTAGCGCTTGCCTACCAGTGCTTAGACCTTTGTTCATTAAAAACAAGTCAGGTAGATCTTCCAGCGTAGATTCGAGGCCCAGGATGTTTGGCTTCACCGAGTCTGCAGAGTCTGCAGATTCCAAGACGAAACGCAAAGACCCGTATTCGATCACGACTGCCAACAACTCCCAGTAGCGGGATGATGAAGACGCAGTCCCGCTACAAGACGTCCAAGGCGCGACCACGGACGTGCTCGGATCACGGGTAAGACATGTGTTGAGGTTTCCAGTTCTCGGATATCCGCGACCGAGGAAGTGTGATAGACCCAAGAATGGGGGAAATGTTGGGAGAGGAGGGCCGCTGGAAGGCGTACGCATAGAAGAGTAGGACCAGACGACGACGTGGATTGATAGACCGTTCGCATCGCATGATCAGGATAGGTGGGATAGATTGCTGATTGGAATATCTAGTGTCTTGAGGGTGAGCACACAAGAATCGTACTTGGGCAACTGTTGAGAATCTGGGTTGCGTAGGATACATTACTAGCAATCTGCCGTTGTGCTCGCACTTTCTTCAGTTAGTGTTGCCATTTTCCAGGCCTTCATGAAATCTTGAGTAGCCCTGGAGACCGAGTAGCGATCTTTGGCACTTAAAGGAGAGTGTAGGACGTTATGGTTGAGTTGGTTACGGAATTGAAAGTCGTGCCACCTCCGCATAGGTAACGGCGGCGAACGCGATTCGAGCTGTGCACAGACATGATTCAACACGATCGGAAGCTGTCGCTCAATTTGGGTTAGCGCCGGAGCAGGCGTATGGCACTCTTTTTTAAGGGGCTTGCCACTAAATCAATTGTAAGGACCGAGGCGTTCGCCAGCGGTGGCTAACAGTGTTATATGGTTCCCTCCGGCATCGAAGCTTTTTTACCCGCAGTTGTGAAGAGTCCGTGGCTCTGGGAATAAGGAATGAGTAGTGGTGTCAGATCGTAAGTAGAAGAACTAAGTCAACGATGAGAGTAGATACTGTGAACGTGTGATTTCTGTACTCTATAGTTCGTCAATCTTCGTCTAGATGGATGAGAAGTTGGGCTAATCACAAGACCAGATAGCCGGTTTAAGAACTTTTAACGGTGAGTGGTTAGTGTGGGGCAGCAGGCATGTGTCTGGGCAAGAATGGCCGGCTGCAAGGGGCCCGAAACAAGTCCCGCTTCCGGGGCGTCATGTTGTTACTCAGGCCTCTGCTCTGGCCGCTCAGCCTCAATTCAGTCTGCTCACCCCAACACAGCCACAGCTCAGGCTGGAGCAGCTCAGTCTTCCAAACGGGAAGGGAAAGTGATTTTGTGCGGATTGGGACGTAATAGTACTTGTTATTGTTGTTCCTGCTGTCTCAATGTGCCAACATCTCTACGTATGGCTGCCGTGAGCAGAATGATGTGGGGCATGACCTACAAGAGCCTGTTATGTGAGCAAAAGAGGACCGCATTAAGATAATCAGAAAGATGAAATAGGCCTAGACCTAGAGATCTGTGTGTGTGTGTGCGGGCTTGGCTACATACAAACGCCTGTCAGTCGCAGTCGCAATCGTAGATCTCCAGAACTCAATCTCCAGAACTCAGGATCCAACCATCCTCAATCATTCTCCCAATCACTCTTTCAACCAACCAGCCACCTTAGAAGGACTGAAGGATGAGGACACGATACGGAGACCCATGCTCCAAATAAAAAGAAAACATGTGTGCAATCAGAATTGGAATTCCTGCTCACTGTAATTTAGACCCTACCTAAGACGAAGGGAATCTGTGTGAATGAGATATCGAAATACATCAAGAAGAAAGGTCCAAGGACTAGACAAGGGATAATCTGGATCTGTAAACCCCTTGCTACCTTACTGCCCGTGAGGGCGATGAAGAACTTCATGACGCATATCATGTTGGTAGCAGTGACAACGAGCGGATCTCATTCCTCCGATGCTTTTGTGACAGGAAGACAGTGGCACAGCATTCGCTCCTCCACTCATTGCCCTTAATACGCAGAAATTGTGTGCGGGTTCTAGTGGCGAAGAGCAAGTGGCGTAACGTGGGCAGACTGCGTGTGAAGAAGCTGTTCGATGATTGAGTCTCAGTACGCGACAGCTGGACCTCACAACCTTGAATTACATTAAAAAGGATGGAGATCGGGAATGAGGTACAATGTTTGGACGGTTGCTTTTTCAGCTGACTGGCCAGCTGTCAACGACGCCTTCGCCGCCAGCTTTTAACCCTCTCTTCGCCTCGCGGCGGCACCCCACTCCCGTTCTTTACCTTCACTTCTTTTAACTTCGTCTCGTTGAAACCCGAGAATAACCAAAAGAGAAACGACGATAGGGTCAAGGGTAAGTGATAAGTATAATTTTCATTCGCATCTCACAATTACAATCCCCATTCCTATCCACAGCCACAACCATTCAACCTCCTCTTCAACGACCACACAGCCAACAATCAAAAGAATACATACCCACAACTGCAACAGTTGTCCAAGGAGCGAACAGCAAGATGCCCACCTCTATCCCCCTCCCCTCCCCTCACATATCCAGAGGTCCTGACATTCCCGCAAGAATTACCCCATCGTAAAAATCAAATATCGACAGAAAAGCCCCATGCCTAAATCCGCAAGAATAGAAACCTTATGGTTCTTTCTCGTCGACACAACACATGGCCAACCTGTCTACGACTTGCCCCCATGCAATAAAATGCCAAACTTCCACTTAAACACATCCTCCCACCCAACCACGACAAGTCGACTCGACTGGACTCAACTCAACCCGCTCGCCCGCTCGCTCGAACGCTACACTTAACACAACACATCACAATACAACGTGCATACAAGAACGGAGATACAACGGAGGATCCTCCTCTTTTAAAAACTAGCCAAAAACACCAATATAAGAAAAAGGAATGACATGAAACCAGACACGGCGATGATGTGCTCATAAATCAGCGACATGGGAGTGAGGAGACGCAGACAGACTCTATTTCACGGAAGGACCAGGTCATAGGACAAGCAGACCGAGGACGGCAACGACCACGGCGAGCGCAGACCCGCTCATCTTTCCGAGTCCCGGTTCGAGAGATGTTCCGGCGCCCTTGTTGCCGCCTCCTTGTTCAAAGTTTTGGCCGCCGCCGGCTGACGCTGACGCTGCAGCTCCAGAGGCTGTTGCTGTTGCGGCCGCACCGCTGACAGCCGACGATGCGTCTTCACCACGGTTACCACCACCCGAGAGACCTCCAGGAACGGTTTCGACGGATTTGGTGGGCTTGGCGCCAGAGCTGACGGATGAGGCGCCCTCTTTGGGGTTCTCGCCCGTGGCGTAGAAGGAGCTGAGGATGACCTCATCGTCGGTGATTTTGATGGTGTTATTCGTGCCGGCCTTATCGGTGTACTTGTATGACTTCTTTCCGTTGACCTGGGCACCGGAGGGCGGATCGTAGCACTCCACGGTGACTTCTGAGACCATGGCATAATAGTACCCGTTCTGCATGTACTGCGAGTTCCAGTCGATTACACCACCGGCCCAGTCGATGGTTCCCTTCTCGTTGCTTGGCAGACCAGCGGGCCAGAGCGAAAGCATGATGCGAGCAGGGGTTTGCGGGTAGTCGAAGCGGTTCGAGGTCTTGTTCCACGTATCGGAGCGTTTGACGGTGCGCATGTCTTTGTTATCGATAATCCAGTGGAGCTCATCAGGTTTCCAGTCGATGCAGTATTCGTGCACCTTCTCGACTGTGTTGCCGACCGTCAGGTTCTTCTCGTTGGTATCTGTCGCATGTAAGTTTGAGCCAAGCGGAAATTTGCGTATTACTCACACACTGTCACGCCTTGCGAGTAGTAGTTGGACTGGGCGTTCACGATATCCACACCGATGAACTCGAAGTCGATTTCGTCCTTGACGTCAGACATCATTATAAAGGCCGTGACGACGCCCCTGCCTTGACTCGTCGTCATCTTGGCGCAAATCTTGCCGTACCAGACATAGTGCGTGGAGGCCAGCAACGTTCCCACGGTGCCCTCGGCCATGGTCAATAGAAGGGCGTCATTGTAGATAACGGGCTTGCCCTGCGACTGCCAGTTGATAGTAGACGCGTCTCCGAGATACTTGTCGATGGACATGACATCGTCGAGGGTCTTCAGCTTGTAGTCTGCGGATTTGCACGTGGGGTTAGGCACACACGAGTCCATTTTGTGAGAGAACAGCGGGTCGCAGCCGCCCAAGCAGAATGCGCCTACACCGCAATCGCCATACTCTGTGAGATTGTTAGCTGGCTGTACGCGGAAAGAGCAGGGGAACGGGCAGGAGCGGGGGCAGGAGCGAAGGCAGGAGCGAGGGCAGGAGCAAGGGCGACGCACGGGAGCAGCACGGCGTGTCTGCCGGACAGTTATTCCCAGGCCCGCATTTAATGCTAGCTAGGGCAGTCGCAGAGAAGGCTGCTACCGCGAGGGCAGCGGAGAGAGCGCGTCGAACCATGGTGATAGTGGCGGCCGAAGTCGTGGGCCAAAGTCGTGACCGTGTCGGACAGTTGGATGTCGTGTAAGGATGCTAAGGGCAGAGTGCAGCTGTCACCCGTCACTAGGTCGGCAGCTTTCAAGACGTCTCCCTCGGTAGGTGATAGATGAACGAATTAGTGTCTATATCGAGCTCCTTCCCAGTTCTGGTGCTGAAACGGCAGGCGCGAGGGGTTGAGGGCAGTTGATGTCAGTATTCAGCGAATGAGGTGCAATTGCTGGGCTCCCCCTGGGTTAGTGCAGAGGCAGTATGGAGTAGCGAGCGTCGGGGAGGTATTAACAATTTACGTATAGAGTAGTGAAAGGGGGTACATCGAAGGAAAAAGGCGCGATGGACGAGAAAGAGAATCGGAGAAGAGATGCGCACAACGAGCGACGACGAAAGTAGGGGAGGACGGGCGGAGAACGACGAAGCCGATGAGGTGTCAGCCGCCTGGCAAAACGGTGGAGTGCTGGACGGAGTGCGTTGGCGCTAATGCCGGAAGCGGCATGCGGCTATCCGCTTTCGCTCCTGTCATGCGGGTCACGAGCCGGCGACGAACCTAAGAAACGAAGCCGCCCGCGCAGGATCGTGAAATACGAGGCTAAAGCCATTAGCAACTCCAGCTCGAGTTCTCCTGAAGAGCGGCGCTTGCTCAGTGCTCGTCATCAATTGCACCCTTCGCCGTGCCGCTCTTATGAACTGAAACCTTCTGCGGACTTTGCGGTCCTCCACCGCTCCCTCTCACGGTGTCTGCAATGTCATCCGCTTCGCAAAATTGGAAGGTGGACCGCCTCTCGGCCAATTATTTTTAGAGAGGGTCATGCAGCCCCAGAATTCGATGCACACAGTTTTGGTTGGGAATGCACTCACGAGATGCCAGTCTTTCTAGAATGTCGATGCTTTGGCTGTTCACGGCCGTTGGGGCATGGTCCTGGTGGTCCTGGTGGCCCTGATGGTCCTGCGTTGGTCGACCTCGGCGCTGGTTTCGCCCTGCCGTGGTTCACGAAGCCCCTGAGTGCGGGAAGGCACGCCAGTGCGGTTGACGCTAAGTTCGACCACTTGCGCCTCAACGCCACACACCAGCCCTTCGCCTATGAAGCAAACAACCACTAGATTTCAGAAGATCTACTCTGTGTCGGATATCAACCCAGCGGGACCGTGCTGCTGGCTGACTCTGGCCGCTTTGAATCACTCCCTCTCAATGGTTAAGCTCTTGCTCTTGCACTGCGACTTCTCTGGGTATGCCGTCTCGCAAGCATTGTAATACTTGGCTTTGAGCAATTATGGTCTCGAGATCCAGACACTGGGCGCCCGAACCTCTCGTCAACGGGCGCTGGTCACCTTCTAATGACTCTGTTCTCAAGATCATGGACACCTTATTCGCTCATGGTGCCAGCTCGACTGGCGGCATTAGTTGGGAAGTAAACGCTTCTCAATGCTTCAAAGTTTCGGAAAAGGTACGCTTGATACTTGCCCTCGGGACGGAAAACCGGACGTTGAAGGTGATGGGATGTTCGGCGTTCATTTAGCAGTGATAGTCTTCAGAGAGAAAAAAAGGGTTGTAATAGATTTAGTCGCCGCTACGCTATATTTCACTAGCCTCTATCTAGTGGGTGTTCTTAAACAATATTCTGAACAAAATCGGGAGTATTAATCAGATGCAAGAATTCTCTGGAATCTGCGGCTAACATCGGGGAGGCCATCAACATGACTTGACCTCTGTCCTATTTTAGCCCGCCATCACGTCAAGCTGTAGCATTTTATTGTTAAAATTGCTTGGGAAGCGGTTGATAATATAATAAATGATAGAAATACCTCCAGGTTTATACCCTCGAAAGCCACTACTACCACGACAGCCCCGCAAAATACGTTAAACGCAATTCTCAAACTCAGAAACCCCCAAATTTCAACCTCCCCACCCAAGTACATAATGCGCAACCCAAGACCAAATGAAATCGAGTCCGACTTCAACCCAAAAAAAATTTACGCTTCACAAACGGCTAAACGACCTCCGCAACAATATATGCCCACTCATGTCACACTTGGAGATGAAGATCAACCCTAACACCACGAAATGAACAGGTGACGTAGAGTTCCACCCCACGCCTCTTGAACATTGCGCATCGATATCTATCACAGGACATCATATTGACCCAATCCCCATTCTGCAGAACTTGCAGGCGCGACTTACTTCACCACAAAACCCTCTAATCTCGCCAAACTCCTACATATACCTCACACATTTCCCTTCTCGAAACAGTTAGCTTCAATTCTCATGGATGTATATTACTCGAAGCTACATACTGCGAGCTCTCTCATCTACAACTTCAGGTTGCCTTGATTTTGGCCTACAACGGGCGAGAAACGGTCAGTGACAAAGCGACTAGGACGAGGGCAATTTCGCGGTTAAGAGAGTGAACGTACAATTTCGTCGTAGCGTCGACAAGCATGGGTGAGGAGAACCTTAGGGTAGCAGGCTCTCCGGAGCATCGAGGCCTTGTTTTCGGTCGAGGCAATGGCCGCTGCTTGCTGGTGGTAGATGAAGAGGTTAGACGAGGACAAACTTATTCGTATCGGTGGCTGTGATGATGCACACTGAGCATGTCATTGGGCTAATGTTCTTACAGCCGAGTTCACAGTTGCTGGAAGAGCTGGTATCTACACTACCTTTCAAAAGAAATTACGGGGATACTTATGCAGCCACACTAATGCCTACCCTACCGCTTGAATTCTCTAAATCTTGTTCCCTTTCATACCGAGCCCGTTCGTAAAACATAACTAGACAGCATAGAACCTACAGTCACACGCCTACGGTCCAGGTTCCGAAGGATCTAGAGAACGGATCCCGATCATGAAGAGCGTCTTTGAAGTCTACAATTCCACCGTTATGCTAGGCCCAAATACCGTTCATTCTGCGCTGGGAATACGCGTGAACATGCCATGCTATTCTTGCACTCAATTTTGATATGGTTGAATGCGAAGCCAGATTACACGCCTCCTTATAACCTTCAACTCTAACAAGCCTCTGTAACGCGACTTCTCCGGCGCTGTTCACACTACTAATTCCTCTTAGTGTTTCATCATGTACGAGATAGCCGTGCTTGAAAACGAAAAGCAAGGTTATCAGAGCTCAGAAAAACAAAGTTGAAGGCTGTTTAACTTGGGCTAGCAAGGCGCAGTAATATACTATTTCTAATACGTTTGCTCAAGTAGTCTAGATGCACTTAAGGCGCACATCTACGCAGCTAGCAATTCTATAGTTCTAAGATAGAAGTACTAAAAAGAGCCAAGCTGTGAATACGGACACTTATTTTTCTTCTCTTTAACAACTCAACAGAGCATAGCAACACTCTGCAATATCTTAAGTTGCTCTTGTATACCTGCCTAACTATACAGCGCGTGATTAGGTACTCTACGTATTGTAAATGCGTGGTACCTCTTCTACTCCTAATTGCCCCTCTCTATGCCTAGTAAAGCCTCTCACAACATTACATGTATTCTAATATCCATACACAAACAATCGTAACATGCTACTTATTAGCTAACGCAGCCACAGACAAGGTTAATGCAGAGTCAAGACCAACACCTCTCTTTACCCTAAGTCCCCTCCCCAAATGCTAGCCAGTGTTCAATATCCCCAACACTGTGCTATCCCCGCAGTACATAGTCATAAAAAAGCATTATTTGCAGTTACAGTATAGCATTACTACGTAGGCACAAAAAACCAAACACCTCCATTCCCAAACTACAAAATGACATGGGTATCCCCATTTAAACGCCTCTCAACCCCAAATCTCTCAATACCCTAACTGATGCGTTGGACAAGCCCCCGGCCCCTTCCTTTCCCACCAGTCTTTAATGCAACCCCTATGAAACCGGCACCAGCACACCAACCTCCCCATCTCATCACCCGCGGCAAACTCCTCAAAGCAGATGATGCATTCTGCTGGCTTACCGCTCTCATCACCGTCTAAGCAATCCTTCTCGCTAGCCGTATATTCAAACATCGATGGCCTGCTCAATGAAAACCGATTTAGCACCGTTGCCGTCGCGGAGCCTTCACCATTATCCGCGTCCTGGTGAGAGTGCGACAGGGCCGTCGGGCCTTCACGCGACGGCGAGCGTTCGGGAGCAGAGCCTCCACTAAGAGAGTTGGAACGGGGAAGGGCAGGGGTGAAGATAGCGTCGATGCAGTCGCGGACGTGCTGTTCCCGGGCAGATGTATCGCCGTCGGGGGCTTTGGGTGGTAGTTCTTTGCCACAGGCGGGGCATGTGTCGTCTTCGGCAAGGGGGACGCCCGTCATTCGGGATTGACGCCGCATGCGGTTGTCCATGAGCCGCATGGCGTCGGAGACGCTTTCGGAGGAGTCGTAGAAGCCGTAAATGGGATGCGTGCCAGCAGGCGGAGGGTGGGCGTACCAGGGATTGGTTTGGCGGGGAACATGCTGCATTGATTGTCGGACGCCGGGTGTAGATGATAGTGGCGGTAATAAAGGAGATGATGGGGTAGGGACGGATGGATGGCGGAGCTCTTGCTGGAGCTGGGCTGGTTGCTGAGTGGCCTGTCGAGCTTGGAGCTGAGATGTTGGTTCCCGGTTCAGTGGGGCATATCTGGAGGTGAGATACCTCATATGTTCAGTGTGGTAGATATCTGGAGGGCGCGTCTCGCGACGACGAAGAGGATATCGTTCAGGAGCTATGTAAGGCAGCCTGTGGAACGGTTCATCCCGGGGGTGGGGGGCGGACTGGTATCGATATGGGGCTAAGCCTTGTTCTGGTGGAAGAGTGTATCGACCGTCGGAGTCGTCTCGCTCGCGATACTGAGGAGGTGGGCTGAAGTTCGGATCAGGTACACAGGGATTGCAGACGCGCACTTCATGTCCACCTCCAAGTGCAGGGTTGCGAGAAACCACGCTGGAATCTGTTTCGATGCGAACAAGGCCTGGAATCGTGCCCATAGCTTCGGAAGGCGGACGAACGATGAACTGATGAGGGATTGTGATGCGGTGGGGAGAACAGGCGCTACAAACGACGCGACCACATCGCCTGCGGAAGAGATGAGTTAGTAACAAAGTGCAAGGTGTCAAGCGCTCGCCATGTTTACCCCAAGCCAACCCTGGGCAATAATCTCTGACGCAGGAAGGGAAACAAGACATACCTGCAATGGTGTTTACGATAGAATAGTGTGAACTGACTCCCACAGACAGGACAGTGTGTGACGTCTGAGTCTGGCTGCCACGGCGGCAAGGCCACATCGCTCTCCCGTCTGCCTGCACTCTCCATGGCTGCTGGTGTGTTCTGGGTGGAGGGGGGCTGGGGCAGTGGACGAGCAACAGCCTGCTCACGCAAAGTGACCATCGAAGGGGGTTCCATTAAGGCTCAACATGCTCGTTCGAGCAGGCGGAGTCTTATGGGTTCCGACAGAATCAAGTGGCCGCTGGAGGCAGTTTGGAAGCTGGGAAGCCGTTTGGAGGCGGGAGGTGGTAGCGTTGAAGATGCGAGGAAAGACCGGAAGCAGTTTCAGGCGAGAGTGATTGGCCCTAGGACAAGCTACTCCAGTCCGCGAGCCGCAGCGTGGTTGAAAGGGGGCTTGTCAGGAGCGTTTGCTCAGGCTAACAGACGTGGAGGGGTCAATATAATGCTCAGGCGGTGGAAGTGCGAGTCAACAAAGCGAGAAAAGCAAAACTCCTGACAAAGCAAAGATAGCGTGCACTCTCAGGATGTTGCGGATCGAGAGTGCCGCTTTAGAAAGGAGGGTGGAGGAAGATGAGGGAATAGAAAAGAAGTCGAACGGCCTGAGGTGTCTCTGCAGCAGAGCCGTGGTGGACTGGAGCTTATCGCTGGACTAGCGTGAATCCATACCCTTGGCCACACCCCTCACGCGACCCTTCTGACCGCCTTCTGGCCTTCACAGACCTGGCCTTACGTTTTTCCGAGCAGAGCCCTCGTTTCAGCCATACAGAAGCTGTCAATTTGAGAAGTCTGATCACACCTCGCAACTACATGAGCCCTAAAATATGTTACGAGTACTTTGTATGTTCGATTCGCCTCAAATTATTATCGTGGGCTGCAATGCTACCTATCCCGCTGCCAATATGCATATGTATACAGACAAGAAGCTCCCCATCTCTAACCCTTCGCTTGTCTCTCCCAAGACCGCAGTGACGCAGTTTGAAGCCCAAACACTCTAAGCCCATGCTTGCCACCTGCGCCGTTCCAGAAACCCTCGTACTAATATGCATAGTGCACTCTACCAAAAGAAATAAAACGCCAAAATCCGCTTTTGATATACAGAGAAAAGAGATTCGTAATGTGAAGTCTGTGTCCTGAAAACAGATTTCCAATTACAATAAGGTGGAACGCTGTAAAGGAACCATGTATTAACAGTCGTCAACTAAACATATTGAGAAAGTGTGTGATGAATTAGCGGGATTGGTGCGATGCGCCGCTGCGCTGAGTGCTAATGCTTCGACTCCTTCCGTCGACAAACTCGGCCGACGCTTCGAGGTGAGTGCCAGCATCGAATCCATCATTTCGGATGCTGTCGCGTGCCATATGTTGATGTACATACCCAGTGCTCACCGGCCGTTCGCCAGCTTGAATAATATGTGGGGGTACAAGGTCATCCGGATTGCCAAGTTGGTGGTAATCACTGTTACCATCGTTGGGATAGATGCTTGAGGCAGCTGAGTTGCCCGCGGAGCGCTCTGGAGAAGGTGATGGCTCTGAAGATCCGAAGGGAAGATGGAGAGGGAGGGTATTCGGGTGGGGCTGGAGATGCTGGCGAGGATCGGTGTTTGGATGGGCTTGAAGATGATGCCTAGGATCAAGGCCCATGTGCGCTGACATTCGCCCAGGGGTGCCCGGTGGTGAAGCAACAACTGTTGATAACCTGGATGTACTTTCCAAAACTGCCCTATCCGTAGACTTCGGCCGTTTTGAACTCTTCCTAGGCAACGTGGGTGCACGGCTGGGGGCTTGAGAACGTGAGATCTTCGACGCCCGCGAGCCGATCCTACTGGGCAACTCGATGCCCCCTCCAGTCTCTATTGGGCCTAGTGTGGGAGCGATACTCGACACTCGATTCATTCGAGAATCAAAAGGGTCCGAATCGCTGCTATGATCCGAATCAGTCTCTTCTGATTTCCTTGTACCATCAACTGCGAAAACCCCAACGGGATTCGGCTGCTCGGAAGACATTTTCGTGTCAGGAGGTGTGCCGGGATTATCTCTATATGGCTCGTGTGGGATCGGAGGAGATTCGTCACCTTCCTCTAGCGGCATCATCTGCGGCGGCATACGGGTACTTCTCACAACCTCGAATCCTTTGCCCTTCTCCTTCTTCTTTCCGCCGAAAACGGATAGACTCTTGAACCAACCAGTAGCATTTGAAACAGGTCCCATTGGGTCGGCAGGCCCGGTTTTTAGCTTACGAGTTGGCGTGGACGATAGGGCGGGGCCGCGAAGACCATAGTAGAAATCGGATTCTCGAACTGAGTAATCAGTATTTTTGCGTCGCTCAGCAAGATTGGGATCGGAATCATCGCGATGCATCCGGAGATATGCTGGGGTAATTGATTTATTTGGAGACCACGACGAAGGTCCTTCGCCAGCATCACCGGCCTCAGCCTGATCTGGCGAATCGGCATACGGCGTGTTCGTAAGATCGGCACTTCCACCAGAGTGTCGAGCCCGGGCGGCTGGGACATTATTTAGGGTATCAATGGTGTGCTTCCGAGGGCGAGGTGGGCGATAGTACGGATCCGTGGCCTCCATCGTTCCCATCGTAGGACGTCTGGAACTCTGACCAGATCCACCGCCAAAGTGACTCCATGGTGATGCTCCAGCTCCAGGAGTTCCTGGGCTCGTGCCACCGAGGCTATCACCTTGACTAAATCCTTCGAATCCGGCGCTGGCGCGCTGACCTCCTGTATAATGCTGGTTGAGAAGCACCGCTGAGCTACCCGAGAGGCTTCGAGACCTGCCACCCATGAGCTGGATGGATTTTGCATCGCCATCGTGAGCAAGCATTGCCGCGTCTGAATTGAGGCTGCTTCGTTGATTCTGGCGATGAGTTCGTTTGGATAGTTGGCGCATGCCGAAAACTTTCGTGAGACCGCCGCGCTGCTCCCCTCCGGCGCCAGCAAGTCTCGCAGCCACTTCAATAAGGGTCTGTAAGGAATTGAGAAAGAACCCAAAGACCAAGACAACGGCATGTAATAACAAAACAGCATAGCCGACCCATCCCCTGGATGCTTCATCCACTCCCAGCGAGGGAACAAAGGATACCATGAGAAGCGTGCACACAAGTCGAATGGAGGAGAAGAATGTGTGATAAGCGTTCATGGATGTATTAGACTGGAACGGCCGGAAGGCGTGTAAGGTGAGTATTAAGATTACTTCGCATATGGCAAGCATAATGATCTGCGCAATGCCAGAAGGTTGTATGGCTCCAATAGCAATGCCGCGGATGACAGTTAACAACACCGGAATGAAAGCGAAAGGGGCAGCATCGTCTGAGTACGTATTGTAGAGGGGTCCATAGGTGAGAACGGTTGGGAGGTCGTCGAAGAGATGCGCGCGCGGGCGAGTTGTGAATATCAACCAGAATATCCAAGTAGCGATTGTGATAACGCTAATTAAAAGGACAACAGCCATGGCAACGACCGATGCAGGTGAACGGCCAGCAACTACAAGCTGGAAGAGGGACAGCGCAATAATAGGGAGAAGAAAGAAGTTAAACACGATCCGGACAATATTACCTGCAGTGAAAGGCCAATTTTTACTCCGCAGGTCAGATTCCTGGGTGTTAGTTGTCAATCGGTACATCCAGCGGATGAAGAAGCCGAGCTGGCCCAGCAAGGTCACAACGAGGATGAGTCCAAGAAGCCACACAGCCATCCCTGCCCAAATGTCCTTCTCTTCCGTCATGCCCACCAACTCGCCGAGGCGTGATATACCATACGTTCCGTTCGCAAAGTAGATTCCATCGATAAGAGACTGGGCTCCGTTCCCATGGCTGACGAAACTCTCATTAAAAATGAGGAGTGACCAACTGGCCTGGCTGACAACTGGTTGGAAATATCCTGGATAGTTCAAGTTTAAACTGCCTGCCAGAACAATGAACTGGATGTATTGAAGGCAGTCACCAAAGCCGGGGGTGACAAGGCGAAGTAGGTCTTCATCTCTCCCGTAATTGCTAGACCAGCGGAAGGGATCGGAGGTTCCCCAGGGACTGCATGTCGCGGCGAAGACGGTTGCTATGGCCACGAGGGCAAGCACAGCAGCGGGTAGGTAGCAGAGCGCATCAGCTAGCCTGCTCCCTATGTCTGGGGTAATGTTTGCGGATACACATGCCAAAGGAGGACCGCCTAAGTCACCGGAATCTACCCGCATTGTCGCAGCGAAGGTCGCAAAGGAATAGCTGCTGTAGAAATCATGGCCCACGGCGAATCCAGGCAGCTGCTTGGGGCCTACAGCGTCACTGAAGACTGGAATCAGTGGACACGCTTTGTTAACAGTGGACAAACAGAACTGGCTGGGCTGGGCTGTATAGGCATTGTATGTGAGAACCTTGTAGTTGGAAAAGAGAGTTGAGTACTTCGGATTTGTCGTGCTCACATCGATAATCTTGCCATCTGTAAGGTTTGGGTTGTTCCAGTAGTTTTCGTCACTGGGTAGAGGCAACTCCTGCTGCAGCAACCGCCCAGTTACATTCCCATATACCGTAATGTTGAGGTGATGGCTCTCCGCGGAGGTGTTGAAGGAGGCCCAGACATACAAGGGTACGAACTGGAGGGTCTTCGGGTTCGAATCGGTAACGTTATGGGGTAGGCAGTTATCAAAGTTTATGAAGACGGCATGAGAAAACGGAAGGAGGGTTGCGAGGGAGAGAATGAGCGAGAGGAAGCTTGAAAAGAGGCGCTGCCGTGAGTTGACGCCAAGTTTCCGTCTCGGTCGCGGAGGTCGTGGGGAGGGTTGGAGTGAGGGGACGTCTCGTTGCCCTAGTTGTAGCAGTGATTCTTCGCGAGCGCTGCTTTGCGCTGTAGAAATGTCCATTATCCTCCTTTCCGAATCCTCATGTCCACTGGCGAATGACGTCTTCTCGAGTGGTGATGCAACAAGGGAACCGCTTCTGTCCATCAATAGTTGCCCATGCGAACAGCAGCTATGGTAGCGGGCGGTAACCCAGTTGAGTTGATCTGATAATTGGGCTGGTTACACACTGAAGTGTTGACTGTTGTAAGAATGAGCTGCCTGCCAGACACAGCTGAGAAAATGAAGCACAGCCAGCGAGGAAGGCCTGCGTTGTCTGAAACGACGCGGCGGATGGGCTGCAGCAGCGATAGGTGGGCAAGAACGATGCGACGATTGAGCCCCGCCTAGACTCGTGCTGCAATCATGATTCCTCTACCGAGTTGGCCGTCAATTGTCGGGTGTTGAGCGAGCGTGAGGTGGACAGAGCGAGCGACGCCGGTCCAACCGAATTGTTTGGAGTAACTCCTGAGCACTCGTCGGCAGGGTGCTGCAGCGTAGTATTTGCACAAGCAAAGCAAGCGAGCCAGGCGGTCCGCTAGGGAATAGACCTGAGGCTACTGCAAGAGGGATGGAGAACGGTTTCGAGCGAGTGTCGCAGAGATGGTGGGTTGGGAATGGTTTTCAGCGGCAGCGCGAAACTGCGATGATGTGGAGGTGGCTCAAGCATCAAGGCGAGATCCCTGTGAATACGCGATAATTCACTTAATATTTACTCGGCTTGATAGCATCGTCATAGCTGCTCTGTTCAGGCATCATGGCCCTCTATACACCTCAAGGCATCGAGATCTTTCCCGGCCTTTCTCGCGTACGATGGCCTAGTGCACTGCAATGGACCGGCTCAGTTGGCCAACAAATCTTTATTCATAGAAACGGATACGGTCTTAGGGTCTCGGGATTGGCGCCTTTTGACTTCAGTCGTAGTCAAGGCAAAGGTGTGGGAATACCATCAATCTTCCCGGCCCGATGAAGTCTAAGAAGACCAACAAGCACTGTAACAGTGCAAGAAACATTTTCGCATAATGGGTCCACTTCCAGTGACCTGGTATGGAGAGCAAAGCACGATGAAACCTCCGCATTGAGAGGGAGCTTCACGCATTGGGAAAGGCGTTAACGTGTTTGGGGCGCAGCACATCGCAGGCTATTTTTGACGTTGTAACCTTCAAGTCAATCATCTGCCCATCATCAGTGTTGGGTCATCCTGTATCCAGCAATACGAAAATCCCACGCAAAGAACTCTCAATGGACGGCCGCCTTCGCTTTCTTTTGTATGCCGTGTTTCATGTGCAACTGGATGGGTGTGGCCTGAGGTGTGCCCGGCCACGCTAATGCAACTTCTGAGGTTCCCCTATCCTTGTGGCTGTGACGCATTGAGGATCCACTTGAGGAAGTAGAGCAAAACTTGAATTTCTGAATAGCTTCACTTACCCTCGAAACAGATCACAAGTGTTCGATTTTTTACCTTCCTGGCCTTGTCTGTATCGCACTCAGAGCTCTGCTGAAGATTTCCCTCTCATCATGTGTCAGCTCACCGGATCGGGCTAGGCTCTTGGCGCGATTTATCAACTCCACCTGGACATGCCAATCCATCTCCGACTCAATAGAACTACCGAGGAGTGCTGTAACTTCGCCATCCGGAACCCCGTCGGTTAAATGGACTCGGAGATCCGCAGACAGACCCTCTGAACCCCTTTGCAAAGAGGCGCGGTTCTTCAGACACTAATAATGCGGAGTTCCCACCTCTATTCGCGGAGATCCACCTATTGCTGCGGAACAGGAGTTATGGCAAACTTTCTAGGTAGTAAACTCAATAAATTTCTACATGTGTCATTTTCTTTCTTAAGTGTCCAAGATTTGCGTGAGAGTCAACTTCTTGCGTCCCATTCGAATTTCAGCTTTCTTTCAACCTAGTTGTTCCCTTCGTGTACGGTGCATATATAACATTGAGGCCTCTCTTCAATTTCGCCTCCAGTAAGCTAGACGTCTTAATAGCAGGAGCGTCTAAGCTTGGGTGTTACACCTATACCCGTGATCTCCCCTAAGCTTAGGCAACATTTCCACCATGGGCGCAACCCTCTCCCAGCTCTTCCCCCCCGCACCCGGCTTGACGGAAACAAACCTCCCATCACAAAAAGGCAAAGTCTTCGCCATTACTGGGGGAACCTCAGGTGTCGGCTTCGAGCTCGCTAAAATCCTATACTATGCCGGAGGTACCGTTTTCATCACCTCTCGTTCGACACCATCCCTTGCAGCGACCATCAAGCAAATAAAATCTGAGGCACTGAGCGAGAGCGAAGGAGATATTGATGGGGTGGTTTTGGACCTTGCGGACCTTTCGACTATCAAGCAAGCTGCGGAAGCACTGCTAGCTAAAACAAGGCATATCGACGTCCTCTTCTTAAACGCAGGGGTATCACAACCTCCGCCAGGTATCACCACAGCACAAGGCTACGAACTTCAGCTTGGTGTAAACTGTCTCGGCCACTTCCTGCTTGCGCATATCCTTCTCCCCGCTCTCGTCACCGCAGCAGATAAATCAAAAGAACGTCAAGAGGTGCCGGGCACCACCCGCATAATTTGGACGTCGTCACAAGTCGTTGACGGCGCTCCTACTGGCGGCTTCCCCATGTCTGTAATCGTAACACCACCCGCTAAACCCATAGTAAACTACACCAACTCCAAACTCGGGAACTGGTATCTTGCTTCATACTTCAGTACTCTGCCGCAAGTACGCAATTCCTCTATTTTAAGCATAACACAGAACCCTGGAAACATGAAAACAAATCTGATGCGCCACGGAGCGAAATGGATGTACTATCTTGCCTTCCCGCTGTTATATCCAGGAAAGATGGGCGCATATACAGAGCTTTGGGCAGGCTTGAGTTCCGAACTCGGGATGCTGGATGCGGGGGGTTATGTCGTGCCTTGGGGGAGGAAACATCCTGGACTCCGGGAAGACCTGTTGAAGAGTCTGAAGAGTAAAGAAAATGGTGGGACAGGAAGAGCGGAGGAGTTCGCAGCATGGTGTGAAGAACAGGTCAAGGATTTTCGTTGATAGAAGGCAGGCCAGAGTATGCTATTAACCATTTACCTTATTCTAGCAAGCATACAGGACAATAATCTGCATTCTCTTAACCTTTCGCGGTATGAATAACTGCAGGTTTTGCAGTTGATTTGTAACAATAGCATGATTCAAGGCTCACCGCTTCTGCTTCTTTTGAGACGGTCATAATTGGCTCACCACTACCAAGCTTATTTATTTAAACATCTCTCATACCATCACCCCCTTCCCAACAACCCTAAATCTCCCAATCTAAGCCCTATCACTAATACTTCCGAGGCTAGCAAAACGTCCTATTTCTGCTCAACCATCCCCTACCCAACTGTCATTCCACCATTTGTATACAAAATCTGTCCATTCACCCACATGCCCCCCTCGCCCGCCAAAAAAGTTACCACGTTTGCAATATCCTCAGGCGCACCAAGCCGATTAAACGGATTCCACCCGGCTATCGTCTTCACCAGTTCCTCACTCTTGCCGCGCATGAAGAGGTCCGTGGCCGTGGGACCTGGGGCTACTGCATTGACGTTGATGCCTTTGCGGCCGAGGTCTTTGGCGAGAACGCGTGTCATTTGCTCGATGGCGCCTTTGGATGTGTTGTAGAGGAGATAGCCAGGGGTTACAGTGGAGAGGGTGCAGAGAGAGGTGGAGACGAGAATGACGTGGGAGCCAGAGGGCATGTGGGGGAGTGCTTTCTGTATTTTCCAGTTAACAAAGTTCGCCTCGCTGACTGGACTTGATCCAATCCAATCCAATATCTCATCTTGCAGGTCAAGCATGGCCCGCGCATGAGAAAAATATTCGTACCTGGCACAAAAAATACGGCCCCTTAACATTCAATCCCATCACCCTCTCAAAACCCTCCTCCGTTGTGTTCTCCAAATCTTTCATAGGACTTATCCCAGCGTTCGGCATCAAGATATCAATCCTACCCCACTTCTCCACCGTCTCTTTGACTAGGCGTTCAATCTCTTTCACATCTGCAGCGTCGGCTTTGATGGCGATGGCATTGTCGCTGCCAATTTTCTTGACAAGGGCTTCGGCGGGTGCGGCGTCAGAGGAGTAGTTGATTACGACTTTGGCACCTAGGGAGGCGAGTTGTGTGGTTACCGCTGCACCAATGCCTTTGCTAGCGCCAGTTATGAGGGCGATTTTGCCAGTGAGGGGGGCAGGAGAGGACATTTTGAAGGGCCCTTGAAGTTGGGAAAATGATGCCAATGATGTTTGTAGAAAGCTTGTGGATTGATAAATGATGCTCGAGAGCTTTACAGACCGACTTCTCTAACTCTCACAAGGAACTAGGTTCTGACTTGTAAACAAACCCTCAGGAGCGCCATACGCACCCTTTTATACCTTCACTTCTCTATCAATCTTCTGGTGCGCTACAGCACAATAGCCCCGGACCGGAGATGTAAATCTTCCTTCTCCGGACCCTAACTCTTCTCCGCTTTTAAACTCCGCGTATATTATCGACTACCTGACCTCCTCCCACTTCTCTCTTTTGATTAGCTCCGTATCCCCGGTATGTAAGCAAAATAATGCACGGCCCAACTTTAGCTCACCCGCTGTTCAGTTAGCACCTGCCACGGCTCAGGGTGCTCACTTTCAACTCACCTGTCTATCCCAACTCCGTTAGCTAGCCCAACTAAAAAGTGCTTGTCATGATTTTCCGTCAACTCTACACAAAAGACAATTCCAGGGGTGAGCTGGCAATGAAGCCCAGACATGGGCCACATTGTGAAGGTGGCGGTGGTGGCTCAGAAGCGAACCATCGTATAAGAGATCCTAAAACTAAGCCCAATCATGCAAGATAGCCCTAGAAACTAGTTCGAACTTTCTAAATCAATACAGTTCTGTGGTGTTAACTGAATGTCGACCACTGTAAGGCAACGCCGCCTTGCTATCTCTCTCATCTATATCGTATCTCCTGCCTTCACTCTGTTTTCTATGTCCATTCTTTCTCTACCCTTCTTTGTTTCTAATACTAAAATTTAAAGAAAGGTTTATCCAACAAGTAATGGAAAAACAAGACACTAAACTACATTACTCTGTTAATAGAGAGCGAATTGTTAAAAACTAGAAGGTAAGACACTTAGACTATATTAACGGAAGCTAGACAAATAGGATTAAGTAGCACATGTTTTAGTAGTGGGATAGTCTGTATACGCTAATTATTTATCACGGTAACCACCATTACACCTATTCTCACACTACACCCACTCTTCACCGCTACATTTCAACATGTTCCAGTGGATAAAAATTCCTGAGACTTACAGGGGCAACAGAACTGATCCTGGGCGTTCAAAAACCATCCTCGGTTCTCTTAGCTCTTATCTTCAGGCCGAGATTTGCCGCAATACACTTGAGATATTGGGTTGCTTCAACAATCTGCCCCTGAAGCATGAGCCCTACATGTCAATAAAGCACGTGTCGATGCGACACGTAAGCGATCTCGAATCACACCCTCATTCCCTTCGGGCCTAGTAACATGAGGCCACAGCATGCATATAATCTGATCTTGCGTGCTCTATCAGCACTCAGCGTCTTGAATTCCACCTGATATTCAACGAGTAACTATCATCGCTCCCCTTCTGAACTGCTTGTGGCCTTCTTGTTGCATCTCGCGACAAAGAAAGACAATCGAGGAAATAATGGTCTAGATCTAGGCCGAAAGGAAACATGAAAGGAAAAGACCGCCTATTAAAATTAAGTTATGGTTTCACTGATTTATCCAAATATGCCTTCCGAAGAAGACTAATATTTTATAAGGGGCTCGCACTAGGCGCAGGTGCAGGTTGAACGTGAATTGTATTCGATGGATTCGTAGAGGTTGTGGGCAGAGCTTTCATCTGCGTCTCCGGACCTGACTAAAGTTTACGTGGCTTCTCTAAGCTGGTTCTGAGAATGTACTAAACCAACCGAATTCCCAACAAAATGATCTCCCCTTGGAGGCTACCAGCTCAACGAGGTCTCATCGAGGCTTTCCAATAGTTCTAGGTCTCAGCCCATTACATATGTAGACGAAACATTCGAACACGAAAGAGAGCTTGAGGTCTGTTACCTGAACAAAATTTTTTGGTTATTAGTACTAACAAAATCTGGATAAAACTATCCTCTGTCCCAAAATACATAGAGTTACAAATTAATCTTCGCGAATGTATACGCGAAGTATTTCTTCGCTGGCTTATTGAGGTTCATGATCAGTATTTCCATCAGTATAGAACCCTGATGATATTACTAACCAATAATATAATAAATCGTTACCTCTCTTGTCGCCGAATCGATGTTGATAAATTGCAACATGTAGGTATTACGGCCTTGCACATGGCCTATAAATTTGAAAACAGGATTAAAAAAACGCTATCAGACCTTGAATATATAATAAGTAGTATATAATAGATCCGATTTCTCGAGCCGAACGCTATATTCCCTGTACATTAGACTATTGCCTGGCCCGGACCACTACCATTTCTGGAGAGAATCAGCAAAGTTGGTCAAGAATCAGGTTTTAAGAAGGAAGTTGCTGAATATATTATACTTTGTAGTTCAAAAACTTTGATCAAAGATATAATGTATGGTGAGACCTCTCAGCTCGCCTGTATTGTCAACTTGCTTGTATCGCTTGTCAGATACGTTATACATAGGGCTTAGATACTCGAGATGGACACCAGCGTTTCCATCAGGAAGTAGTACGATTCGACTCAGGCTTTCTAGACAAGTTACGTCTCACTTATCATATACTTCTGTTTGCTTCACCTAACAGCAGGGGTTAATATAATTAAGTTACAGTTTAATTAAAGCTGCTTATACTTCTTAACTTTTTACTAAAAGTTACAACATAACTATTAAAGCTTTTAGAGTAGCAGGGTCCCCCTTACTCTTAATATAGCACATAAGGTTATTTAATTTGCTAAAAACAACTTTATAACATAGCTAGTTCTTCTAGAGTTGTAAAGCTTTAATTATAAAGCCTAAGAGATAATTATAGTTACAAGTAACTGTTCTTTTCCCCCTGCTAAAGGCTCTCTTGCAGTCGCTCTTGCAGTCGCAGCTTATAAAGGGTATACATAGGAAATTAAGTGCTATCTTAAAGAGTACAGGATAGTTGCGCTAACTAACCTAGAGCTACTAATTTAGAGGTTCCCTATACAAGGAACTGTTATCTTTTGCTATAATAAGTGTCGCGTAAGAGAGCACATGGTCCTGGTGTCGCACCTGTGTTTCGGACGAGCAGCCTGAGACACTTGGCGCCGGAGCTCCCACTACATAGGCAGGCTCCCTATGAGCCTCTCATAGTCAATAGACTTGCTCCTCATTGCTCCCTGATCAGCGGTTGCGACAGTTATGGGCCCGGTTTGTGCAAATTCCTCTGCGTTGCGTTGATCAAAGCACTTGTCTATTCCCTGCTCCTCATCATCTGCTCCTATTGTCTCTCTCTCTCCACCGAAGCTATGGATCAACCAGCGACTGATGCCACACGTTCCCACCATCCACCCGCGATCCC